CAGAGTGCTACTTTATTTGACCTGACCTGCATATTTCCCAAACTCCCTGTAAGTATTTCCCAAATATTGGAAATGGGGATTGTCCATTGAACTGACGAAAGTAATTCTTTAGTAGTTGGCTCCTAATTTTGAGAAACAGGAGTACATAGCACTTCTTTTTATTTTGGGCAATCAATTTTGAAAATTCAATCCTATTGTGAAATGGGCTGTCATCAGGCAAAATGTAATATTAATGTATCTTATATGCTGCTTATTATGAGGTAATTACTTGAACATAGACAGAAAGCTGTGCATAGAACTGGCACGAGATCCATTTATGCTTTTAATCCTCTTATGTACTTGATGCTTTCAGTTTATTAATCAAGCAAATATAAAAAGAGTTATGCTTGGCAACTGAAGGTGAGACTGGCTGAGCTGAAGTGTCATGCATTTGAAAATACGAATCGTGATCTAGAGGATTAATACTGTCACCAGAGTAATATTCATTTGCATAATGTATTAAATGTTTGCATAGTTCCTCAGGAGACTGTTTCGGAGTTTTGATTTCATAGTTTTCAGTGAAATCTAGTATGGATTGTGGAGGAACCATGTGGCTATAACTTTTGTCTCTACAATGTCCTTACTGGCAGGTTCTTTGTTCCCAAGTACTCCCTGGTCAATGTCCTCCTGCCAGAGTGTGTTCCCCAAGGGCTCACCCCTACACAGAGCACTTATCAAAGGGAGAGGATGGATTGAGGCTCACCAGAGGCGGGAGGGCTGCCATCATACAGTACTCTTATCCCTGGTGTGCTGCAGGTTTTCCACACCAAATTTTGTAGTGTGCTTTGCTGTGAATATAGATCTACTGGAATCACGGAGTTAGGCCTGTTTGTACTAGTTAAAATGAGAAGAAATTGTCCCACTGCTAGGCTTGACTTCATAGTAAGAAAAGAACTCCAGGCCCAACTGTTAATGAAGTGGAAATTGTCCCACTGCTAGGCTTGACTTCGTAGTAAGAAAAGAACTCCAGACCCAACTGTTATGAAGTGTTTTGCTGTTGACTTTAATAGTATGGCATCTCCCTTTTGCTTCATTTTAATACGTTTGCCTTTTGGGTGTGAGTTTCTTAGTGTCAATGGATCTGTCTATGGCCTGCAAAAAATCTGCATTAACTTGGACATCTTGGGGATTTTCTTGTGTGTTGGTTATGCATGAAGGTAAATAAGAATGCTGTCAAGTTGCATCTTGAATTACGTGAGAGACAAAGAAAGAATACTAGCTCAAAAAAGAAGTAGCATCATAAAAAACACAGAAGGCTAGGTTAGTAAAAGCATAGTGAAAGCTTTTATTTCTCCTGGACTGATGAGGTTTTGGATAGTGGTTTTCTTTTTTTTTTGGTTTGTGTTTGGTTTTTTTGATTGTTTGTTTTTAGTTGACTGCTGGTGGTCTGCAGTAGAGAGTAGAGAGGTCTACACTTGCAATGCAAAAATGCGTCATTTATTAAAGAGGGAAAGTTAAGGATTATTTGAACTCTGGAATGTTATTTTTGACACTTTCTTCTTTCACATTTATGTGTTTTCTTGACTTGACCTTTTGGCATTCTCGCCTTGCAGTAGCATGTCTGTGGATTTGAATTTTATAATGTATCTAACATGACAGACCATGTGTTACATATGACTAAAGTGAAGCAGACTGTTCTTGTCACCTTTGCTCTAATAGGAATATGCAGTCTTTGCATAACGTACATTTTAGACACCAATCCTGAAGTTTGATTAAGAGAAGTCTACATCTGGAGAGTTGATTTGAATCGTGAATATAGATAGATGTCTTAAGGGAATCTGGTGTGACTGATGGTCTCTGTCAGTTTGTGAAACTCTAAAAGTTATTACTTAAGAATAATAGGACTAATCCATTCATATGGAGGTTTCCTGTTTGTCATCTTAAGTACGCATAAAAGCTAAGAACACAAGACAATACTCTGCTCAAGAAGTAATAATCTCTTTTTATACTTAACTTTTAATAGTTTTTGTATTTTTTTTGTAGAAGCAATTTATCTCTTTTTAATGTTCTAGAATTGAGACTCTAGTTTGTTCAGAAAACTATGTAACTGCAATCTGATTTCTAGGTTGATGTATAATTTTAAAAATGAGGAATAATTTTTAGCTTAACTTCCCAAATCAGATCACTTATTTTTTCACTTTCAGATAACTTCTTCAAGGGGTTATAACAGTGTTAATATTTTTATTGTTAATATTTGTTCTACTATTGACTTTCCTTTGCTTCTGTAATTTCTCCTTTCCTTTAATTTTTTTTTTCTTTTTATTTCAGCTGAGCTTTCAACATAAGATTGGTATCCTTTACTGCAAAGCGGGCCAAAGCACGGAGGAAGAAATGTATAACAATGAGATGGCAGGACCAGCTTTTGAAGAGTTCCTTGATCTGCTCGGCCAGAGAGTACGGCTAAAAGGATTTAGTAAATACAGGGCTCAGCTAGATAATAAAAGTAAGTTAGGTTTCCAACCTATGATAGGAACTATAATTATCCAGTTGATCTTCTCCAAATCCTGTTTTGTCTTTTCACGCTCTTGACTTTGGGTTTTGATTAATAAGATTATATGGTAAATGAGGAAGATGAAATGTATGATAAGAGCATGTATCACACCTTGTCTGAAAGTTTATTTACCTTTTCTATGGCATTAATAGAACGGAAAATCAAAGCAATTTATTTCATTTGTTTGCACTTAGTTAAAATCATACTACGTGAGTGATATTTTTCATGTATTTCAGAATATCCCAACTACACTTTAACATCTTATCCTTAAAAAAGGCAGAAGAAATTATATGTATTTCAAAATACAGAGTCATGAAAAGGGACAGTTTCCCTTATTTCAAGTAAACTTTTGTGCTTCTTTTTAATCAACATACGTATTGATGTTTATATTTGAGGAGCAATCAAGTTTCTCAGTTTTCTGGTTTCTCTCACATGCACAGTGAGCATGTTATCATTGGGCAGTTGATAAACTTTCATCTACCTAACCACTGTCTTATTACTGCCATTTCCTTTCAGTTTCTCTAAGTATGATAGTATAATAGTTTAATTGTACAAGTTTGTTGGGTATTTTAGCAAAAATGGGAACTGAAGTTCCCTTAACTTTAACTGAAGTTAAAAGTGTCAATGATATCTTAACACTCTTCTTTATTAGCAATGCTTTTCACTGCCCTTAAATTTAACTTAACTCATTCTTAGTTTAGTGTAGTTTTAACAAGATTTTGACAACTGATCACTGTGAGCTGTCATGTAAGGATATCTAGGTATTCATCTAGTTTATTATAACATGCTATTTTTAAAGATATAATGACTAGATATAAGGAAGACATTTTTTACAGTGACGGTGGTGAAACACTGGAACAGGTTGCCTGGAGAAGTTGTAGGTGCCCCGTCCCTGAAAACATTTAAACTTTTTATTTCTACAGAGGAATAGTGCTGTTTCACTTTCATTTGGTAAAAGGTGTTTTTCTGCAAAAAAGCAGAAATGTTTCATAACTGAAGAAAAAGGTTTAGCCAGTTTTTCTCAACCTTTGTAAAGTAAAACTAGTGTTCAGACAGGAATGAGGTGCAAAAATGTCAGCCCAGATATATATTTTTTTTCCTGCTAAAGTTGCCAGCAGAGTAATGTTTGTAGTAGCAACCATTATGTTACCTTAGTCACAGTGGGCCTTAGTGGGTGTTCAGTAAAGCATCTTAGTGTAACGGACTAAATTTCAGAGGAAAAACTTGCTCATTTCCAAAGTCAAGGTGCTAAGTCAAAAATACTCAACTAAGTAGGATGATGTGTTAGTAAAGCATAGATTTAAAGGTAAGGTATCTGCATTTCTGTAATAAACATTTAAAGGGACTTTTGTGCAATATCTGTTCAGGACGATTTGACTTTATTTAATAGCTAAATGCAAAAGGAATCAGGGAGTAGAGTTGCTGAGATTGTAGTTTAGGCAGATATTTGTACTTCACAATACAGTTTATTTCTTCCTTCTGTCTCTTAAAATCTTTCTTTCTAAAATGCCATGGAAAGGTTTTAATGGAATTATATTTTCAACAAAGATTTTAAAATAGATGAGTGCAATGATGTTTGCTTTCGTTAGCAACATTTAAGTAAGAAACTTACGCTCCCTATTTATTATGTAACTGTAATTTATATTACATCAATAAATGAAGTTAATTTTATTATTGTACAAACATAACTGATGAAGCTAGTTGTAATATGAATGTGTTCAAAATACACACACGCAAATATTTTCAGATTTAGAGCTGCAGATAGAGTATGATTACTGTTGAATTTTACACTTAAGTGTATGTTCATATACTTCTAACCAGAGAACTAACATGGCCAATCAATTTCTTTTTGGAATACAGTTACTATTTAGAAGAAAATAAAACCCCCAAACCTTAAACAGCATGTGGAAGAAAGTGCTAGAGGATGTTTTTGGAGTAGAAAATATAAAATTATATTAAAAATGAGTGAGCATGGAAAAAGAGAAGAAAAATTGATAGTTGCCTTGACTCAATAGGGTGTTCCCAGCCTCCTGCCTTCAAGTTAATTGTACTTACTTAAATAATCCAGACATATTAAAGAAGGCAAAAAAAAGGATTAATTTATGACTACAGAGTAAAACTCATCTGATTTGCTGTAAACATTCTGAAATGCTAACTCTATTAAAATATTAAGTCATATCATATATTAGATGTATTTTAATAATTTTAAAAGATCAGAAAAATCCCAATAAAATTATCTGACATTATACTACAATGTATTCGTAGATTTCACAGACTGGTTTGAGTTGGAAGCAGCCTTAAAGATCATTGATTTCCAACCCCCGTGCCATGGACAGGGACACCTTCCACTAGCCCAGGTTGCTCAAAGCCTCATCCAGCCTGGCCTTGAACACCTCCAGGGATGGGGCATCCACAGCTTCTCCGGGCAACCTGTTCCAGTGCCTCACCATCCTCACAGTGAAATTTTTTTCATAATATCTAATCTAAGTCTACCCTCTTTCAGCTTAGAACTGTTACTCCTCATAACAGTTATTATGTACGTATTTTATGTTTTAAAAATATCTCATCTGTAGTATGTGCGTCAATGTCAGATTTGTAGTAGCATTGTCAGTTTAGTTTTGGTGAAGTATAGGATTAGTCAATTGTCTTTATTAACTTTTTAAATAATGAAAATATATATCATGTAAAACTGTACTCAAGTAGCTGTTTGTTCTTTTTTTCATGAAATGCCAGTATTTTCAAAATTAGATCATTCAGGCTTCATACACAACAAACTCTTTGGGCAGTTTCTTGCAGGACCCTTCTGTGTCATAATATGAAACTAAAGAGTAGATATTTAGCTCTTGAAAAAAATTTTACATTGCGTTAATAGATTTAAATCATAGTATGCAAAGAGTGGTGTCCTAAAAAATAGTATGAATGTTCATTTTTACTGACCTTCTTGCAATTAAATTCATTTTCAGCTGATTCAACAGGAACTCATTCCCTCTATACTACCTATAAAGATTATGAGTTAATGTTTCATGTATCAACAATGCTTCCATACATGCCTAGTAACAGGCAACAGGTATGTTTTTTAACTTTTAATTGTAATTTTACATTGTAAATGTTTGATATTGAGGGTTTTTTTTTAAAAAGTAATACTTCAAAACTGAATTGTTTTATATGAAGTATGACTCAATTGTATTTTTTTCCTTGAAATATTATAATGCATTAGAAATCTCATAAGATTTTTATACTATCTTTCAAGGTGTCTGCTTGTGAAAACAGAAAACTGCAGTGTATTTATTTTGTTTCTGGAGAATTCCCTTTGCTTATGTAATAATTCATAATATCTTTTAAGCATTAAGGATGGCTAAAAAACAGCACGGCCTCCAAAGTGTGCGATGCACCAGTAAGGTTACTCTGTCTTGCCTGTCCTGGATATTTCTTGGAACTCAATTAAAAAGTACAAGCACTTTTGGTATAATATATCAACATTAACAAAAAAAAGGCAATAGAATTGCTCATAGGTCAGACTGATGATAGTTCATAACTTTCTGTGCTACTACTCTGCATTTTTCTAGGTCTGCAGAAATGAGTGTTGGATTTATTTAGTTAGTTTTAGAATATTCTCTCATTGCGATGCAAGATACAAAGATTTCAGTAATTTTGGAGGGTTTTCATGAAATAAGGATGTCAACTCATTTCTTTTTGAAGAGCGTACAAAATACGGTTACCGGTTGTTAAACCATACGTGAGTTGTATCTTTTATGTCTACCCTATCAGTAGGTCTTGTGGGAAGAAAAAGAGAGGTGTCAAGGCAGCAAGAAAAATATAAAAGTATTAAAATTCTTGAGAAATGATAAATTAAAATAGAAATGGAAGAAAGTATATAATGTATTTATGTATTTTAAATAGTCAGTGCACAATATTCTGAGGTGTTTGAAGAACTGTTTCAAGTAAATTTTACTCCATTACACTTGCAATTTAGATGTAGTTTAAAGAAACTAAGTTAGGGATCAAAAGGCAGAAACTGTTCACCATATGAATAATATGAATGTTTAGATGAGTCACATCTTAAAACGTGTGGCTTTCAGAAGACAGAAGGTTGGGCTATATCACACACTCAACTGTGCCAATAGCTAGTAATCAAGGTATTGGATCATTGTCACTGATCTGAGATTGCTCCACTTCTCTAAACTTTCACTTATGCCTTATTACAATACAGGATTAATTTGGTAAACACACTAGGAGTTGTTCTATCTGTAATCAGTTGTAACAATCTTTGATTGGAAAGCACATGTAAGTAGGGAAAACTGTACACTATTAAGAAGATACAGTACACTGAATGAGCTTGCATTAAAAGAAAAAAAAAGACTATTTTCATTGCTAATCACAGGCACTGACAGTAAAAGTGGCCTTACCTGGTGTTTATTTCTTTTGTTGTTGTCTCTCATGACTTTCCTTTGTTTGTGAGAATAGGATATCCTCTTGCCACGATCCACAATTTCCGTAATTCTTAGCTGTTTGTCAGCTTCACTGCTGTGTTGCTCAAACACCCCCTGTTACTTCTTCCTCTGTCTTCCTTCCATTCTCATCCTTTCCTTGTGTATCTTCCTTTATAGGCAGGTGCCGATTCTTGCGTACAGCAAAATCTTCCAATTTTAAGTCCATGGTTTTCCCCAGCTGCAAGCACTTCTTTCCACACCGTTTTAGTAAGCTCTTGTCACTGTCACTTTAACAAGTTCAGTATTTAGTAGAAGCACCATGTTGTTATTCATGGCTTTTTTGGGATCCAAAGTGATGTGGCCATTTTCCAAGTTCAAGTAGTATGCCTGTCTGAAGACTCACCAGATTATTTTTTTAGATGCTGGGATCTATCAGTATTTGCACAGCATGGACACTGTCATAATGAAATGTGACAAGTGCACCCAAATGACCAGAATTTAGCCAGCCTTAATGTACAAAAGGGATCTAAAACCATTGTTTAATTTTCTTCTCTTACAGTTTAGTTCCAAAATACATACTAAAATGTGAAATGTGTCAACAGTGTTATTTCTCACAATTAGGATAAAATTCCATTAGGTCTTTTTCCTTGAGACATTTTAGATTCTGAAGACCACAGATGCAGTTGCGTCAGTTGTGCTCAAGACAGAGAGAAATGTACAGGTGCTGTGGAATATGAATGTTGTTTGTCTCTTCAGGGTTTGGCTCCCTAACTCTACATACCCAAGTAAGGGGAAGTTAGGGACCATGGTAATTTTCCTTTCAGGTTATGTTAGCAATGAAGACTCCCATTCAATTGTTGTTTTTTGCTAGCATATTGTGTATGTATTGGCAACAAGGTTATTGCATCCTATCTCTATGTCCCTTGTTTGGTAATAACTGGGCGAGGCATTGAGTCACTCTTCATCATCTAGGACTACGAGCTTCAATGAGCAAGCACTGAGTGTTGCTTATACTCCAAATACCTGTGAGCCAAAAATAGGCCACACCAGAATTGTCTGTTGCTTCTTCCAGGACATAACTACGCCCTGCTTGGTCCCTGATCAGGACATCCCCGTAGTTTTAGAGCCAGCAGGAGATCCAAAGAGCAAGGTAATTTTCACTTTGGCTGCAACATAGGCTGGGAAATTTCAAGTCAGCTGCTCCTTCCCTAGGAGAGAAAAGACTACCAGCCCTGGTGTGGCCAGTTTCTTTTCCTTTACTGGCCTTCTCTTCAAAGCATAGTTCAAGACTTTCCCCTTTAAACTTTACCTTTGCGACATCCCTTTCCAAATCATTCCCTTGCAAGTTTCCCGTTCACACATTTACAGTCTGCTTTGTACACATGGTCAGACCTGATTAGTCCAAATCAGTTCAAATAATCAGTTTTCATCTGGTTTAATGAAAACTTAAAAATGAAACAGATATGCAATAATGAAATAAACTTGTTGAATTTAAGCTACTGTTAAAATGGTTGGAATAACAAAACATGGTTATACCAAGCTTGGTTTAACCAGATCTGATGAAGTATCTTGTGCAATTTGTTTCTGCTCTTGGTACTGGTTAAAAACACGAATTGAAAATAAAACTTTTGCAACAACTTATTTTAGACATGTATTAAAATAAGTTTGAAGATTTTTCTTATTTGACTCCTAACATTTCATCATTTAATTGAATTAAGAATATATTTTGTTGCTATTAAGACAGTACTTTTCTTCAGAGATGCATATCTGAAAATTAATAATTGAGTAGATAAAATCTCAAAAATAATATAGTAACTATTATTAGGTATAAATAATTTTTATCTAATGGATTCTGCTTTTCTAACATACTCTCCTTACCAGACTCCCGTTTGCGTGTCTTGTATTCTTAGATTTCCTTTTGGCTGCCTATCATACTTGATTGGGTTCATTTTCAAATTCTGCCATGCCAATTTAGACTGATACTAGAATGATGTCAAGGTGTGTTTGATGTCTCCTTACTGTAAGTAATCCTTTGAAATCTGTGGACCCTGTTGAGCGTTCCTATTGTGCTCTGCATTGGCATGAGACTCTTTAGAGTATGTTAGAAAGGCAGATTAAAAAAAAAAAAAATAAATGCAACAACCCTCCAAAACCCCAAACCTGAGCAGACCTCAAAATGGGAGAGGAACAGGAAACTGAGAACCTGAAAAAAACCTAGGAGTTAAAAGTTGGGAGGAAAATCTAGGTTATAGAATGGAAACTAGAAAAGGATTTCTTATGAATCTTCTTGCTCAGTTCCGGTTTCCTTCAATTCCTTTTTCATTTTCAGTATGCTATCCTTATCTCACATTTCCCAGGGAAGTATGTGTTCCCTCCTTCTTCTCCATTTGATACTTTATTCTTTTCCTATTCCTTTATTCTTTTCCTATTCCTTTATCCTATCCAGAGCACTTCTTTCCATCTTCCAGATCACCCCAGTTTTACTTCTCTCCTCTTTCCAAGTTCTTTGCATTATGATACTCTGCACAGCCACGACTGTGCTTTGCCTTTGCGTTGTGTTGAAGTTCACTGACCACTTATGCATGACAGTTACTTATAACAGTGTTACACTTGTTTTATTTTAAAAATGTCGAAGAAGTCACTAAGATCTCTGCAAGCTTGGTAAGGTTCTTAAAAATGATGACCTGACTTCCTGTTTCCTATTTTTGTGCCTCTTAGAGGTTTAAGCTCTTGAAAAATACTTTAGGGATAGGATGTGGGAACTGACATAATTTTGAAAAGGCTATTTTTGCTAGTAATATGTCAAACATTTCTAAAACTTAACTCTGAGTGACTGCTATTCTTGCTTAAGCAACCTATGATGATAAGCAGAACCTCCTGAAGAGGTCTACTAAAGCAAAAAATATTCTTGAAAACAGTGGTTGTCTTGAGAAATAAATATAACTTGAAACAGGATGTTGCTTTCTAGTTTTTGTAATTTTACTCTGTTGAAACGTAAAGGCATAGTCATGAACCACTATAGCAAGAAAGAGTAATTGGGCAGTTAGTTATATAACAAAGGCAGAAATTAATCACCTTGTACCTCATAATTAGAGGGTTTCTTACAAATTTAACTGCAGTGTAAATCCAACCTGTGAGACAATAATAACTTCTAGACGTGCATTTGTGCTTCACTACTATGACCTAATTGTATGGTTCACTAGCTCAGCAAATTAAAGTATACCTGAGACACTTAGTTCTGTGATCAGTTCCATACAGTGTACTTCTACTGGCATTTGTATGCAACAGGATGTATATCTTAAATGGCTCAAACAGCCAGTTATTTTTAACTTGACTGATCCACATGACATACCAAATATTATTTTCTGTTCTTATATCTGTTTTATAGTTTCATCGGAAGTCTTATTTTTTTAATCGGCATTTGGGATTTTGATTATGTTTAAAATAATACAGATCTACTGAGTGCTTTAAAGTTGGGGCTTTGGTGCTTCTTACTACCTTTAGAATACCATCCTTTGTGTTATTGTAGGAAATCTAATGAAACACACCTATGGGTCTTAGGCTTTAGCATGTGCAACTTCTGCTTTTTTTGTTGTAGCTGAAATACTAACTTTTAATGCAGCTGAGAAAATGAAAGCAAATACTAGACAGATTATGTTCTGTAAAATCAGTTTGATAAACTTTTACTTGTTCTGTCATAAAATTTTCAAATTTCTTCTTGTTACACATGAGCTAAGGTAAAACTTTAAGTGTCTGTATGCTACTAGTTGACAAAGCAAGGTCTTTGGCAGACTGTGGGTGGATATTTTAAATGTAGCACATGCTAGACTGCTTTTTTCCATCTGGTAATATACATGGATGTTTTATAAGCAAAGGTATTTAAGAAGAAAGTCTAAAAAAATTGAGAGGTACAATATACTTCTGTGAGGAAAGTGAACGTAATTTTACTGTGGTGTTTTGTTGGTTTTGGGGTTTTTTTTGGTTTTTTGGGTTTGTTTTTCTTTTGAGAGAGAGAAGTGGTCTGTTATTGCTGGACATGTTCTGTAGTTTTTATTAATCTTTAACCTGTAACAAGGATTTAGTACTTTAAATTATTCCTTAAAAATATTTTGATGATAAAAGCTACCAATTACAAGAATAATTTTTTAATTAATGAGTTCTAATAGCCATTGTTTCTCCATAAGTATTCTGTGTCTCAGCTCTGTTCCTCAGATATGCAGTTGTTAAAATTTGTGATGAGTATTCATGATAATCTGTTTAAAAAAATAAGATCATAATAATCAGGACAATGTTTAATAAAAATGCAACATGGAAAAGGAAGGTTTATTCAGAAATAAAAGCAATATTATATTTTTCATATAGAAGAAAACATTACACTGCAAAGAGGGAACTGATTTACAGTTCTCTGGATAGGGAGAAATCTCAAGTGATGTAACATTTTATTACTAAAGTGATGCACTAAAGTAGGATAGATATATTTTTCTCATAGAGTAAAAGAGAGATGAGCAGAAACTATGCAGAGCTAGTGTGAGGATGTGAGAGAACTCACTAATACTTTTGTGAACTTAGCCCAATTTCCTTTCCCTCTTTTTGCAGTTCAGTCTGATGTCCTTTATCTGTAGCTATCCAGGATGTGATTAATTAAAAGTTATTTCTGAAAAATTAAGCTTCATTTATTTTGGTTTGCGTTTGTTTTGTTTTTTTTTTCTTTTTCCGAAAATGAAGAAATTGTGATTTTTTTTGTTTTGTTTTTGTAACTAATTTTTCAATGCATGTTTCTTGTCTAGCTGCTAAGGAAAAGGCATATAGGAAATGACATAGTTACCATTGTCTTCCAAGAGCCAGGAGCACTTCCTTTTACTCCAAAAAATATTCGTTCCCACTTTCAACATGTATTTGTCATAGTCAAAGTGCATAATCCTTGCACTGAGAATGTGTGCTATAGGTGAGTAGAGCCTTAAATTCTTTGTTTGTTATTGAGACTGCAATGGAACTACCTTTTCTAACAGTTTTGTGTTTCCTAGAGATATAATGCATACAATTTTAAAATTTGTTACATTTTCTATGAGTTTGAAAGCCCAGTGTCTCCCTTGCTCTAATCTAGAGTTACGTGGCACAGTTTGTAGTCTTAAATGGGTATATGCAGAACTCTGTTTTGCTGTTTTATGGGCACAAAACGGGGATATAACAAGTTAGTGAATATAAGATTTGCAGACATAGCAATAGAAATTAATAGAATAGGTATTGCACATTTCCTTTCTGAAAGAAAGTGATTTAAAAGAAAGTATTTTAGAAGGCCAGTAACCTGTATAAATCCTTGAGTGTGGCAATATGACACTGGGATAAATTATGGCCTTTTAAGCACATGACTGAGGACTTCTGGGGAGTATAAAAACATCTCAAATTTCGGATGACCTTAACTCTCAAATTTAAGTTACTGCATCATGAATTCTAGCAAGGTAACCACAGTGGAAGCATAGTTCTGAACTGGTTGGGAATTGTGCAAATAGTGATAAAGACTTGAAGCATAATGGTGCAGATTTAGCATGTATAAATGTTATTTGTTTGCTGTTTAGAATAAAATGAAAGTATATCATGAAGTTGGATCATATTACTGTCTTTTAGCTGTCTTCTAGAACTTGATTTTGTTTCAGTAGCTCTTTTGAGTTTAATGTTACAGGACATTTCATAAGTAATATTTTTCTTATTACTAAATTATGTCTCTCTGTCATTCCAAATATGACTACATTTCAAACTAGTAGTAGTTGTATGTAGTTTGCACAGCATTTTGAAATCCTTTTTCAGTTGAAGTACATTATGTGGCTGTCAATTGTAGGTATAATTGTATCAATGAGAAAATATTCCTGTTTCTTTTACATCTTGCTGTCAACTGTCCATATCAAGAATTGCAGGTATTTTGAAATTTTATGAACCTGGAGTAGGCAACTTAAACAGATGCAGAATGCTTCCATTGACACCGATACTTTTTCTTTATCTTCATACTTAATCGTAGCAAAATGTCTGAAGATTAAAATAAATTCTGTTTCCATTTATATATTTCTTAGTTTTAAGATCACGCAACTGAGTGACAGCTGAAAATTATAGACTTACATAAAAAATAATTTTTGAAAAGACTTCTCTCATTTACATCTCACAAAACAATTTTGTGTTTATTCCATGAAAGACAGGAGACAGTGACATCCTAAGAAGTAATCCTTGATGTTTTCTGTGTTAGTAACATAGTCCATAATGTCTTTTATATGTTTAAAATAAGCCATTTGAAAACAGACAACCCAATCACTTTTGTTTGAAGTGTCTAAAATGTCTGAAAATTGACATATAAAAGCTAAACTCAGCTGTGTAAATAGACTGCACAGATCACAGTTCTGCTTATCATCTATTAACCACTGTATTTTTTCCTTTTATTTCCAGTGTTGGTGTTTCACGATCAAAAGATGTACCTCCATTCGGTCCACCCATTCCCAAAGGAGTAACTTTCCCCAAGTCAGCAGTCTTTAGGGACTTCCTTTTAGCCAAAGTTATTAATGCTGAAAATGCGGCACATAAGTCGGAGAAATTTCGAGCCATGGCCACAAGGACACGTCAAGAATACTTGAAAGATCTGGCAGAAAATTTTGTTACCACAGCCACAGTGGATACTTCAGCAAAGTTTAGCTTTATTACTTTAGGGGCCAAAAAAAAGGAGAAAGTAAAACCAAGGAAAGATGCACATCTATTCAGTGTTGGAGCAATTATGTGGAATGTGATTGCACGAGATTTTGGCCAGTCTGCTGACATTGAATGTCTCCTTGGAATTTCCAATGAGTTTATCATGTTGATTGAAAAGGAATCAAAAAATGTTGTGTTTAACTGCTCCTGCAGAGATGTTATTGGATGGACGTCTGGATTAATGAGCATCAAAATATTTTATGAAAGAGGAGAATGTATTCTTCTGTCTGCAGCTGATAATTGTACTGAAGACGTCAGAGAAATTGTTCAAAGGCTTGAAGTAAGTACAGTTTCTAAACTGGAAGTCTGATTTTTTTTTATGAAGAGTTATTTGCCTACATTTCCTTTGAGATATAATTAAAAATGTCCTGTGGTTATAGTCTGAAAATGTTTTCAGTCTTCAGAGGGCATTGCAAACAATAATCCTCACAACAGCATATGGGATAAGTGCTATCAACCCATTTTCAGGGATGAGGAATCTGATACCCATAATCTGACAGACTTGCCCAAGGCCATGGACGGTTTCAGTGTTGAAATCAGGATGGAAAGCCTAAGCTTTTGTCTTCTCTTGCTGTAGCCAGTTCTCAAATCACACCTTTGTAGGTAGAAATATTTGTTAATTTTAAAATATACAAAATCTTAATGTGTTAAATATACTCACTTTGACTTTTATAATAACCCATGTTAATATTAGCAGAAAAATTTGTCTAAGTGATTCTGCTGATTTGTTCCTCTATACTGAGCAACTGCAGGAAGTAAAGAAACCTAGACCAATTAATGCCAGTTTTTACAGCTGACTGGTTAAAGTTTTTCATATGCTCGATAACCCTGTTAGCACAACTGTCCTGTAACTATTTTAGTCAGTACAAATTAACTTATAGGAGCTCCAAGGTAAATGTGCTCGTGCATCTACTTCGTGTGATTGCACTTCGCCCTTTGATCCTAATTTAAGTGTTCTAGATGTTCTCAATTTTGTTTATATTAGAAAGCCCAGTACTGAAAAAAAAATCATTACACTTAACCATATTCACATTGGAACAGTTGGATTGCAGCTGAAGTTTTAGGGCCTCTGTAGTTCTGCAGTCACATTTAGCATTGCTCAATATCATGCTCTAAGTAATCACCTTTTTCTTTCAAAGTACAATTAATCTTTCAATAGATTAATGTCTTTAAACTCTTCTTGCCACTGTTTTATTATCTTTTCCATTGAAGTCTTCAGTTTCACTTTTCTTAGATATTTCCTTTCTGAAAAATAGGTTATGTGTAGTTCATTCCTATTACATAATCCTAAATGAAAATAGCAATTGCTTACTGCAGATGTAAAACAAGATTCAAAGTTCTAGTGAAAACTTCCGCTGTCATCAGTGACAAGAATTTCTTTTGCTGTTTTTCACTTCAGTTTTACAAAACATGGCAATATCCTAGTTGCTGAAGAGATATCTTTAAAATTCTGTAGTTACAAACACAAAATGAAATGGTTATGTGTATTTACTTGAATGCTTCCTCTTTTTTATGGTCATATTTTGGGTTAATGACAAATTGGCTTTAAGCCCCAAAAATTTAGCATCAGTTACTGACAAGTTAACCCAAATATTAGCTTCGAGTATCTATTCCAATGAACTCTGGCCGCCTTCTGTCTTTCACTGCCACTTATCCAACTTTCACATTGCTTAAAATAATTAGCTGTTATTGCTTGTTTTAAAACTTTTTTCATTCTCCTTTCTTACCTCATTTTTCTCCTTTTTCCCTGCTTCTTCCTCTCTATTGAAAGTTGCATGTTAATGTTATTCCTTAGTTGTTTTATGATGTTGAATGCTTTTTAAACAGTCCTTATATAAATTTTTATATAGAAGCTCAGAGATGACCATTACAGCCACTAAAAAGTATTTAAAACTATGATTCCACACTTCATATGTATACTTTGAAAACCTTTTAAGTGGCTCAGAACACAGCTAAGGTCAACAGCCACATGTGCCAGCAGATGCTAAAGATGAAAGCTCAAACTGTGACATAATATCAAACTTGAGTGACCAGATGATTAACCCTTTTCAGTCACTAGTAAAAGCATTTCTTAAAACCAATGAGTAAAATGTTGCAATTAATAAATGAGACTGTCAAAGAAAGAACTGCTTTTTATTTCCTGGATTTAAATCATGCAGATGAATATGAAACCTATCTAAATATCCAGATTAGGCAAAGATGTGAAAAGTGGAGACTGATTCTGTTTTGAACTCAAAGAACCAGTTCGGGACTAGAAAAAGAACTGGGATTTGTCAATCTAGACTCAGATCTGTATTTGTGGGAGAGAATATCTAATGACACAAAGTAGAAAGAGCAGAAAAGCAAACTATAGATTAACTTGCTGGGCTGTGTTTGAAGGCAGAAAAAATAGTGATTCTGAACTTTAGGATAAGAGAGCATGGCAGAGTGATATAAGATTCAATGAAAACCCTGAATGGAATAGACAAAGAGTCTGAGTAGATGAAATTTCCTTGGAAGCCTGCATACTGAAAAAACTCTTCAAATTTTTCATGGGACTTAGAGGATCTCTGTCTTTTAATTTCATCTGTATTAAGTACATTCAGAGAAGATGGCTCTTAGTTCATGCACAGCCACATGTTCAGTGAAACAGCAACCAAGTAAGCAGAATGACCTGTTCTGAAGTGGATCAGCACTATGTTTTATGTGACATTACTATATAACATGCAGTGTCACCTTTTAGGGGGTATACTTGTGGAGGACTTGATCTCCTGGAATCCTTTCCATTGGAAATAGATGAATATTTGGCAGAAATGTTTATCTTCCTTCTTTTTTAACCTTTGAATACTTAACTAACTTGAAAAAGAGATTTTGAGTGCTCTGAGTTGGGGAAATCCATGTACTTTGTCCGGTGTTTTCATTCCGCGATATTCTATAATGTTGACATAATGATAAAGAGGTGTCTGCCCCCCCAAAGAATATTGTGTAGCTTCATAAGGATAAAATTCCATCCCTCAGCCTGGCTCCTGACTGTAAAAGCATATTCTTCTTTTTACTGCATGACTAAATATTGTATATATTTTAGAAACTTGTGACAGAAGTGTAGAGAAACTAATGAATAGCTGAAAATTTCACTTTCATTTATTTAGTTCAGAAATTATGGAAGTTTTGTTGAAAATTAATTGTGACTGACGATGAACCTCAGAGATGGAAAAAAAAGAGTTAAAGCTTAGTGCTTTCAGCATGCCATATACCTCTAATAGTATATGCATGGTTATAAACAGAACAGAAAGTTCTGTTTAAAATGGAAAGCTTCTAAAAGATACCAAAAACAAAGAGCTGAATAATGACAAAGGAAGTAGCTGCTTTTTTCAATAGGAAGACCCAGAACATGATTTTGTAAACAAAACCTTTAGAGTACATTTTGAACATCTCAAGGATGACTTTCACATTTCAACTCTGAAGCCTACATCTTCAGAAATAACTGGAAGGTTTATTAAGTCAAAGTGCTACAGTTTAAGTAGCCCAAATTTGCCAGGCAATGATTTTTCAGTATGTCAGATCCTTGCAAGATCTTTCTCAGTGTTTCACAGCTCAATGAATATTAGCCCTTAATGAATGAGGACTAACAGTATTTCATTACCTTGAGTTTATCGCGGATTAAAAGCATGAGCATGGACCAGCTCCCTCAGATCAGCAACCTTACAATAACTCATGGTTATGTGGCACTTTGTTCTCATGTGTGCAAGTTATAGTTTTTTTTCTGCTGAGTGACAGATATCCATATAGAAATATTCTGTGAAGGCAACAATGCTTTAAAACTTATTAAGGTACTGAAAACTAGGACTTTCAGTCACTGACCAGGTTGCAAGCATCAGTTACACAAACACTCCAGAGTTTTTCCAGTCAGCCATTGGATTGGGAAGGGAGTAGAAGTTAGACCTCTCAACCCTGACTCTGGAACAGACTTGGACAGAAAAAATTGTCTAATCAGACAGTAACTTACAGCTTAATATTTGCTATATGTTAAGTTCCTTTGTCAATGATGGAGACGTACTTTCATAATAGTTGCCAGCGAAGGAGACAGTCCCATCTATTCCCTGCCTGCCACCCCTTTGGAGCACTAGTTGTGTCATATCTCTGATTTGTCTGCATGGCTGCACAAGGGCAGATGCGATGCAAGGAACAGCATCATGGTAATAGGGTCTTAGTTTAAACCTCACACAGAACTACACCTAGTCAACTGCATCCGACTTGGGTAGTGAAATGAATGGTTTTGTGACAGCTTTACAAGTCACAGTGCCAACATCTCACTAGCTGCAGAGTCCCCCTCCCTTGTCATGCAGCCCTGAATTGCACTGGGTCATGCTTCTGTGGGAAGCAGGCAATAAAATAGTGAGCAAAACTGTTCAGATTCTGGCTCAAGTAGACAAGGGAGGGGGAGAATGACTCTTCCAAAATAGCCTCCTGAATTAAGCTCAAGCTGTAAAATAGCCTTTGCAAAAACCTGTCCTATGTAACTCACTGTATAGGACACTAGGCTTCTGACTTAAGCACCTTAATTTAGATGCCTAAAGTTAAGTAATGTGTGTATCTTTGTTACACATGGTAAAAGTAACCAGAAGCAGCACGAACACCTTTGTGGAACAAGGTGTGCTGTAGAACTGCTCTGAATGCAGCGTGACCTTGGGAAGATCCCTTGATCTGTATTGTAACATATGCATCTTTAAAGGGCAGGTGTTTGTCTTGCTGGAGTGTTACAAAGCACTGTGAGGTCTTTGAATGATATGCGTTATGAACAAAGATTTTTGATAATGTTGTTTCACAGTGGTTAAGTTTTTGTTCTAATTGTACTAATGGGGCTAAAATACATACTGGTTTTATGACACTGACAGAAGGGAATGTTAGTGTAACTCACAAACTTAGCTTGTAATGTGGACTAGAATTTGGTCTTCTGAGTCTGGTGCAGTCTTCCAGCACATGTGCTATTGTATGATCACTTTTTGCTGGGCAAAACTGTTGAGGAGTTCATTACATAGTACATAAAAATGAGTCTGCTTAGCAAAGTCTGAAAGATTTTAGCTACTCTATATAATGACAGAATAACTTTTCATTTAATATTAAGGCAGTATTTTTTTGTTTCTAAATTTCCCAGTGACATGAAAACTCTTATCCCATGGACATTTTAATGATGTCCACATCTGGAGATGGTGCTAGTTAGGAATCTGACTACAAGGCAAAATAAATCAAAGTTATCTTCATTGCTATGGTTTTGAGGAAGAAAAGCTGCTAGAACTGAAGCATTTCACACAGTTTGGCTCATATCTCAACTTTAGTAGTGTCTAATACTGAAGAAAAAATGCCTGCACACCTGCAGTCAGTCAACCAGCAAGAATGAAGTAACTGACAGGACATTTTGCTTGCTTCGTGTTTTGAAACTAAAGCAGCTGTTAAGTTTTCAATAAGATACAAACAGTATTGTCTTAATGTTGGGCAAGGGGAATGAGCTTGACATTGGTCAGCTGCTTGCTCTGGGGATGTAAGATTTTTAGCATTTTGAAATATTCTCTTTTTTTATGCAGAAACCTTTATTCAACTACAAATATCAAAGTAATTGTTAGTATTAGTATATTAAAATATTTAATGTCAGGCCATACGTGGCTTTATAGTGTTTGAAAACAGATCTGTTTGTGTGTTCGAAGAAGTGACTGTCCTGACAATAGCATAACAATCTGATACTTCTTTAGATAGTGACCAGAGGATGTGAAACCACAGAAATGACCCTTCGGAGGAATGGGTTGGGCCAACTTGGATTCCACGTGAACTTTGAAGGGATAGTGGCCGATGTGGAGCCCTTTGGTTTTGCATGGAAGGCAGGCCTACGGCAAGGGAGCCGCCTGGTTGAGATCTGTAAAGTGGCTGTGGCAACTTTGACTCATGAACAAATGATTGACCTTTTACGTACATCGGTGACAGTAAAAGTGGTGATTATTCAGCCACACGAGGATGGAGCACCTAGAAGGTAAGGAGCAACAGTTCTCAATGTGACATTTATATCTGCTTGGTTGGGTTTTTTCTCTGCTGCTGCTTAAATGATGACTTTTATTGGAGACCCCCGGGAAATGGATATTGTCTCATTGTCTCTCAATAATAACTAATATTACTGAGTTTCCCCAAAACCCCTGTTGGCTTGTAATAGAAGATAAAATGGGATCCTGTAAGAAATTTAATGGGAAATTTACTTTTCTCTGGCTTTGAAAGAGAAAGAAGTAAACTTTAGTGCATTGTGAATGAGCTGTTATGATAGCTGGTGTGACTTATTTTCTTCCACAGAAGAATTTTGTATTTTAATACTAAATTTGAAAATTGGGAATTCTTCTCTGAAAACTGTACCTTGACTGCCTTTGACATTTCGCTGACTCCTGGCTACTGAAAAATATTTGTTGTATTTTTTCATATGTTGGAATTTTAGCAGAAGTCATGAAATACTGGGTTCTGAACATATATGGTACCAAGTCTTAGAGTCCTCCTCACTTTATACAGATATCTAATTTAGTCATATTAAATAGTGAATTACATCAATGAAATCACGAGTTAAGCAAAGAAATCTTGCTGTAACATGAAATAAGTGTTCACACACTCAGGAAAAGACTGTAATAAAGATTATTATAGTGACTGTACCGTTGTTTTCAGGGGTTAAACACAATTTTCTTTCATCAGTTTTCCTTTTTTGATCACAAAAAGTTTTGTTCTTCTCTCCATTTGAATGGTATGAGCTAGAGAAGTAGGGAAAATTTAAAACTTTATAATAATGTGACTTTATTTTTCACATACCTTGTCTAGGCACTGTTGATTTGGCTCATTCTAAATGAGAACTGTACCAGGGTAAATTGAATTACTTGTCTTCTTGTAGAAAGCCAACTTTAAATCTCTTGTTGATTTTTCATTTAACAGAAAAAAAAAAATCATTAAATGTTTTGCTTTTGGCAAGACAACAACCCATAAAATTTTACGTAGCATGCAGCACTATGAAGTTGGTGCCAACTGTACACAAATACTGTTTAATTGGTGGCAGTTGTCCAAGTAGTTACTGGCCTGATGAATGACGCAGAAGTGCCCTCCCCTGCCTCAACCTGCACATCGATGTGTTGGGTTCCTTTCTGAAGAAAATGCCTGTGAATGTAGAATACCACCGTTTTGCTCAGTTGGATAGAATTTGCAATTAAGCCTCCCTTTGCTTAGCTTTGCTATTCTCACCATCTGCTTCTGGGTATGAATTTTAACTGACTTGTTTGGTATACATTTCCAAGCTGTTTACAGAATATGAGCCTAATGAGCTGATCCTGTTTTATTGAAGGTAAAAACGTGTATTTTATAGGCCTTGGTGGAAAAGTGCATACTGTATGAATTGTTTATATGTTCTTTGATACATTTTTAGAAATAAAATGTTAAAATCCCAGATCAGTGTGATACATGGTGCTCAGTCTATGTGCAGGGGGAGGTTTAACTGAGTGCCACCAAACTGCGAAAAATCTGCAAAAGCTGTTCTTGTTCATAATTTTTTTGCCTTTTTAATAATGTGGCTAATTACTAAGGAGAATTATTTTTTTAAAATCTCTGTTTCTATTCTAAAATACGAAACACATCAAAGCATTTATTGTGGAGTTCTCTTCAACCTCATTTCTCTAGTCTAAAAAATAAATCTTTATTAGTGCCTCTTTCTCTCAAATATTAACTTCTTACTGAAGCAGAAAGCTTTTCATTTTCCCCTTTATGTCCCCAAAATATGATTAGTGGGTTTGATTGCCCAACTTGACAGGGATCTGACATCCAGAGAGTTTTCAGCTTGCCTTTTCCCAGTGTTTATAAACAGAGCAGGCAGAAAGCAGTGTAGATATCAGGTGACCAGTTGATGAACATGAACTATGGCATTGTTTGTAAAATATATTAATGAGTGGGGGAATGAGGAGGAGGCAGAAAGGCATAAATTAGCAGAGAGAGAAAGAAAATAGTCTATCACAGCTACCCACTAGTTAAAACTTGTGCAAATCCATCTCCTTTTCTCCTGCTCAATTGCTTGTCTTAGACATTTGTAATGTCTTGCAGAATCATAGAAATAGAGAATAGCTGAGGTTGGAAGAGACCTCTGAAGATTGTTGAGTCCAACCCCATTGTCAAAGCAAGGTCAACTAGAGCATATTGCTCAGGGACATGTTCACTGGCTTTTGAATATCTCCAAGCATGGAGTCTCCACAACTTTGTTTCCCGTGTGTGATCATACTTACAGTAACAAATGCTTTCACTGGATACAGTCCTGATGAGTCCTACTCTGTTATCTTTTCTCCCCATCACCCCATCAGGTATTTATAGATGTTTGAGATCCCTCCTGAGCATTCTCTTTACCAGGCTGAACAATCCCAGTGCTCTCAGCCTCTCCTTGTGTTTCAAATGCTCTGATCCCTTAATAATCTTTGTAGCTCTTTCCTGGACTAGCTCCAGTATATTCATGTCTCTCTTGTACCCTGGTATCATGTTTACCCAGAAATTTACAGGAGGTAGTTTTGCTTGTAAAACAGCAGTATCTGGAGAGCTAGAATCCATTTTACCCTCCTTTGAGAAGAAATGTCACTGTCCTTGGAGAATCCATGTGTGGCTATATAAGATAGAATTGGGTCTCCGAGTGATTTCCAACATGTATCTGTGAGCAACAGTTAAGGCAGTTGTGCCAGCTCATCAGGAGAGGACTTTTTTACTGCCAAGTAGCTCTAATAATTATAAAATAACACTGAAAACAGACATACAGGTATTTCCTTCAAAGTTGGGGATCCATCAATCCCTGATCCACATGCTGCACTTGTCTAGAAGAATGATGGTTCAAAAGCAGGAGAAAGCTTCACATGTATGGTCCATTAATTATTGCTTTCATTTACAGCTAGTTTTAGAGATTTTCTTCTAAGAAATGATACTTCGTTGTATCAGACATACATAGAACAGTAAATTTGGAGGCTGAAATAAGTACCTTGAAAGTTTGACTTATCCTGTAGAGCATATGATCTTCTGACAGTTGGGGACTTTTTCTGTATTACATCCTTATTTCTCAGGGTAGATATTGATAGTTTATAAAAAAATTTGACTTTAAATGCCATAATCTGGTGTTTCAAGTTCAGCCACTAAGTTTTTGTCCACAATGCGTAGGTATAAAAACACATTCATCTTTGTTTCTACAAAAATCAGTTGCATTAAAAATTGACATACATTTATAAAAACTTAAATATAATTTTAGAAAAAAAGTTTCATGAAAAATACCCATGTATCATTTTATTAATGGCTGTCTTTCATTTACTGAGATAATCACCTGATTTCCCCTGCTTGGAAGAGTAGTTTAAGCTTAGCTCTGTCTGCTGGGTTTTAAGAACACAAAGCAATGAGAACTTTCTCTTTAGGTTTTTTATTAGCACTGGTACCTTGCTGGGATCAAATTCTGAAGTGAGTTTACACAGATTGGACATGAGTGCCATAGAGTGTCTTGCGAATTATACCCTTCAAATGAAAATGAGTTTCAAGTATGCAAGGGTGTTTCCAAAGCAGTCCCAGTCCCTTGGAAAAATACCAGCTGAAGTGGAGATCTTTAATCAAGTTCTTAACTTCATTTTTTTTCCCTGTTAGCTTTCCCACAAATCACCCTCAGTCTATCAGCCCTTTATATATTAAAAGAAAACCAACAAAGTGTAAGTGTGCATACATTGAGAATATTAGCTATGAACTATTACTAGTAGATTTTTTTGAATCTAATAACAATATACTTTGAATATATTTTTTGCTGCAAACTGTCTTAATTTATTTCAGCACAAAAATAAATTATTTGTAATGTTTAAGGTGCTTACAAAGGAATGTTATGGAGTGATTAGGAAATTACAGAGGAAAATTCTGCTCAATAAATGCATTCTATAACTTAGTGTAGATCCTTCTACCCATAGTCTTGATAGTAGTATATGCAAAAGCAATCATGGAATAAGGCCTTTCATTCACTTTCCTGTAATGAGGTTGAGACAAAGCTCTTGCTGTCTTCAGTTAGCTCCAGCAGTTAAATAATCATGCACAAATTGAGAAATCATGATTATTTGCATGGCACTAGGTTGATATTTAGATAGAAAGAAGAAACTGCTATTTGAAACATAAATTATTTAAATTGCAAAGGAGTGTTAGAACAAACATGTTGTCAGTGTATTCAGATCTGAGTAAGTATCCTTGTGTCTTTGTTCCTATGCTATGTCTTTCCCTTCAAAATTGTTGATTTGTTCTTCTGTTGCTGTCGATATTACTGCAGTGCAGTAGCTAGAATTATACACATTTTAACAGGAGAATCATGATGTTCATTCTAATTTGCTTTCACTGGTGGTGTCACAGTAATGCTCAAGGACACTATATCCTTAATCAGTCAAATCCAATCAAAGAATTCAAGTACTTCTAAATCCATTTTAAACTGTATATTCTGATAGAATGTTTCTTACTACACTGAAACTTATCTTAGTTCAACTGTCATTATAAAAATTTAAAAAGCCTTCTTAAGAACTACTTAAGAAACTGTTTCTAGAAAGTTTAGAAAACAAACAAAAATTTCAAGCAAAAATTTCCAGGGATGGGTGAGAAACAGAAGTTCAAGTACAATCCCTGTAAGAGATGTCACAGAGGTAGTTTTCAACTATTGGTCTGAACAAGTAACAGACTTTTTTCCTGCTGTTGTAGGTAATTTTGAAAATGTAAATATTTCGGTAACTATGACTGAAACTGCCTGTGGGCCGTTATTAAGTACTACTGCGTTGCTTTTGAGGTTGTTTTATTCTCTTGAACTTTGCAAACTCTGTTTTGCAAAGAAAATTGGTGTAATGACTTTCTGTATTTTCCTGTCCTGATGCTTGTTCCTCTTAAACGATTGTGATCTTATTAGACAATTGTGTTTCTAGGGCTTTTTAAAGTAACAGATAACCAGCAGAGTATAGCATGTTTGGAAAAATGTTTTTA